GTTCTAGTCCACAACAACCTCTCAGAACCCTTCGCTATTCGGTCTGGCGTTCAACAAGGCTGTACCTGTCGCCATCCTCTCTGACTGCGTCATCGATTTGGTTCTCGGGAAGGCCCTACAGGAAAAATGACGGTATTGAGCTTGCATCTGGGGGCCGGTTGACTGACCTCGACTATGCCGCTGATATCGCTTTACTAGCTTCAAGCGTTGGCTATCTGCAGTCTATTGAGTCACGAGTTAACGAGGTCGCAAAATCGGTCGTTTTGTTCATAAACGTTGTGAAGACCTAAATGTTTTTATGATGCATCCCTGCCCCCAGAGAAGGCTATCAACTTGAATAAGTAGACGATTTCAAATACTTCAGAGCGAGGTTGCTGCCGAATGGACAGAGTATGGATGACATTGTCTCCCGAAATGATGCAGCACGGCGCGTTCTCTCCAGCCTTCGAAAGTGCCTATAGACCTGACGCGGTATTTCTATCTCCATGAAGGTCCGCATTTACCGTGCATCTGCGCGGTCCGTTCTTCTCTACGGATGCGATTGGTGGGTTATACGTGTAGAGGATGAACGGAAGCTGGAAGACCTTGACGACAACTGCTTGAGGACTATCCTTCGAGTGAAGAACACCGACTTCGTCTCAAATGAGACAGTCCGCACTCGCTGCGACAAAATCACAAGGACAAGTTCTTCGTTGTCAACCTCAGGAACTGAGTGTTAATGCCCTCGGGTTGAGACCGTTACCTAATTGAAAACGTCGAGAAGGGGATCAACTGAATCCTGGCTCGACTCAGTCCGTCAAGAAATGGAAGTGTTTCTTGGACCTTCGGTATTCGGTCTCCGGTGTTGGTGAAGAGAACGGCTCGAACTGCAAAGGTCTGCGGCCACGGATCTCTGCGCGTGGAGAAGCACTGTGCGGGTCATGATTGAGGTCGGCTAGATCAGTCATGATCACAGTCGCAACAGTACAAGAAAGTAAGGCTGAAAACACTGAAACCATAAAGTTTCCACTATTATTTCAAGAACGATCTGAACCTCGTCGTAATCGATCATCAGAAATAATTACAAAGAAATGTGGCGGTAGGAAATCGCTCTTATTGTACACTAAATAGAATTGCCTTTATATTCATTACTCACTGACCGGCATGTCCGCAAGTGAACTAAAGAAATATCATACTCGGCACAATCAAGCGAAGAGCTGGTTGCGTAATCGAATGTATCTCAAACAATGAAGAAGGAGGGAAACAACTGGCGATTCTCATGAAACCATGTTGGGGTATTTACTCGAACTTTGGGCTGTAATATGGAAGTAAATGGATCCGATATTTTCTCTAAAAATACTATTTTCAAACGCAGTTATATTTTTGATGCTTTATTTTCTCGTTTTTGTGCATGAACGGGTTCTCTGTACACTTAGTAATCCCGACTTTTCAGCTCTTCAGAGTTTTCTGCTTTTCCAAAAAGCTAGTATTTCTGAACAACGTAATATTACTTTGCAAACCGTAATATACCTTCTTTTAAAAAGGATTGTTCGCTTACTGCTGTAAGACTTTGGAGGACGCAGATTGGGCATCTTTTTGCGTAACATAAATTTTGTAGAGGTGGGGCCCATACTGTATAAATTATAGGCAGAAGAAGATCATTGACAAAGACAAGGGCGAGTGGAATGGCTGTTTCTGCCTTATTAACCGTCACCAAACAGCTATTACCAACCCCAAGGTTGGCAACCCCCGAGGCTCAGACCTTCCACCTTGGTAGTTAGAAGTCTAAATCTCTAACCACTGCATTAGAAAGCCTGCCTACCATTGTGTATATTCAGGACCGAAAGCGACAAGACTACGAATCTATAGAGCAGTGTTTAGTGTGTTGAATTCTAATTAACAAGGCCAGAAATGACAAATCCAGTCTTCCTTGTCTTTGTCGATAATGCACTTTTGTCTATAATATATGGTAGCCGTTGAGAACCTGCTGGCAGGGCTCGAGAGCGAACCCCAAGGCACAACGAGACGAGTGATTTCCGTTACTGATTGGCGAGCGCCCGTCTATCATTATTTATATATATATGTGTCGAATTGGAAACGGGAGGCAAAACACTGAACTATGGTTCACCTAGTCAACAGAGAAGTTTTAAATTAAGTGAACATAGCTATTTCAAATGCGAAGAACGCAGTACGATGTTAAAAACGTTCACTGCTTGAATCTATGGCCACTATTCTCCAGCCTATGTAAATTGCTGCTTGTGATGGTCCTAGGTTCTGCTCCTGATCGTCCTATTAAATATGGTTGACTTGTTCGAAGGCATTTTTCTCCTGCCTGATGTCGTGCATTCAGGTTTGTTAATCCCCTTTAAATATTCTAGAAGGCCTTTTGTTTCACCCAACCCTGTGAAGCATACAATACGCAAGACATTGAGTGACACATTTGAACTGCACTTTTTTGTACCTGATGACCACCTAGGTCATCGTCGTAAGTAAAAGAACATAAATTTGTTGATATCATGTCGGCGAATATAAAGGCCTTCTGTCAAGAGTCCAAATAAACAAGTACTGAAAGCGAGTCAGTGTATGCATAAATTACGAAGGCAAGTTCTCAGGAGTAAACAACATAAACAAGTCGTGAATATTAATTTGACAGAAAAACCAGTACTAAGAGTTTAACCATATTTGGCGCTTAATGGCAACAACCGTGAAAACTACAATGATGTGCTCATGGGATCTGATGTTTGTCTCGGTACCCTTCCTAACGAATTGTCATGCAAATTAAGAATTCCCTAATGAATCGGTCAATAGAAGCGTGGCAAATGAATGCAGTCTGTTATAAGCGTGTGCAAAAGCAGAATATTGTCTGTTTAAATATTATTCTACAGGGTTGCAATCCTGCTCCAAAAGCAGTTGAGCTAACCGCTATCATTCCTCGAATTATCAGTTTGGGTTTCAAGACGATGAATAATTCTCAGCAATTACCAGTGTTAATTTAATTGGCAAGTATAATTTTGAGTTGACCCAATTGTGAAAAAAACTCGAGGCGTTTGGAATTTGAGTTGACCCAATTGTGAAAAAAATCGAGGCGTTTGGCGGGATTTGAATCCGCGCATCAGAGAAGAACTTTGCCGGAGGTCAAATGCTCTAACCGCTAAGCTACAAACGCCCCGCCTCGCGCCATGAATTTAATAACACTTGGGTCGATATTACCCGCCCAACTTTACCGCCCATATGGAATCTACCAAA